ACTAAACAGTGCGTGGGTAAGACCAGAGCCATATATGGGTAAGGTTATAATAAAACGGCATTTTTTTTTCGTTATTCAGCATGTTGATATGCTATTGTTTGAATGTGTTATTAGGAACGAAATTGAAATCTAGATCTCGTTATATTAGGTGAGTATTATTACCATTTAGTACATACATTCAATATATATAATACATAAATAACAATCATACCAATATAATATATAACCACCTTAATATGACTAACCGTATTATTGTCAACTTAAAGTGGCGGGTGTTTCATTCAAACATTTCCCTGTGCGTGATCTTGTTGAAACATGAAGTGAACGAGAAGCCGTATAGACAATAATATTGAGAAGATAAATATTTACTTATGTTGTACTTATCAACATGAAATCAAAATATTATGATATATGATCTGTTACTAACACAGGAAATAAAATTGGGTTTGTTAAAACATCTTACTTTTCTGAGTAGGACGTTAAACCCCATTTCATTTCATTTCTTACTTTTCTGCACTAACCGGGTGAATGGAGACGGGTATACACCATGCAGTGTAGCATGAGGGAAATTTTACCCTGACAGCTCTGCTATTGGGGGTCCTTTTACATGCTGCCAAAGGAATGAACGGGGTCATGGGGGTTTGTTCCTTCCAAAATACTATAGGACGCTGTCCCCCAGCCCTTGCACCACTGCGTAATTAGGGTGGAAAATCAAGAGGAAATTTCTCGGCAAACACCGGCATTGAACCCGGACCCTGGCTAGAGTAAGCGAACGTCATTTTCACTGAGCCACCGTATTTACGGTCCTTAGAACTATTTATTTAAAAGTTCATCAATAACTTTAATCTTTGAATGGACATTTTCGTAACATTTATTTTGTCATTATTTGAACAAAATTTCATTTTGACTTATAAGGTCGTTAGAACCACGTATTCCCCTGGGCGAAACGGCTTCCTAGGCCTGTATATCGAAACTGTGGTGAACACAAAATTCGAGATTTTTTGAAAATATAGGGTTATAACATGATTTAAGAGGGAAATATTTCTTAAAACTCTTTAAACTATGGGCGAACATACATATTCCTGTTCATGTAACTCCCATTTCTGATTGTAGAAAATAAAATAATACTATTTGTTTTTATTAACCAAGTTGTTGGGTTTGTAACGTTTTCACCATACGAAATTTGACAGACACGGACTTGATCAGCGTTAATTGTATGGAAATCCCGCGCCTTTTAACCTTTGACCTATGAAAATATACATACCAATCTAAAGTAGATCATAAAAATTATTGTATAGTCTATGTAAGTAAAGTACTGTGTAAGTATAAGTTCTATAGGCACAATATGTTAACACATATACTCACACGTTCGTGAAGACATACCATTTAAAACATGTTTAGGCCTACGTTCAGCGAAATAGAGGACATAGTTTCTGACAATAACCTTATATTATTATCGATAATCTATAATCAATTTAAATATTTCAAATTTCCTAAAATAAATGTATCCAGTATTAAAATATAGTTATAATCTATCTATTTCCAGTAATGACAGAGTCTTGTAACAATTGTTTAATAAGCGGACAAGTTCAAAGAAGTGGCGGGTGTTTTATTATATGGAAAAGGCTCCCGTATTCATGAAAAAATAAACTAAAGTATTTTAAGAATATCGATGATTCATTGGCTCAGCACTAAAATCATAGCACAAATTTCAACTCCTGGCCACTAAAATTTTCAAATATTTTAGCTTAGTGTTGGTTTCGTTTATTTAAACGGGCATATACTACATTGATTTGGGCCACAACAGAGTACTGAATTGAGTTTATCTGGTATGTTATATTATTTAAATAATGACGGAAAAAACTATGTAGGACTGAATTCTTGTCCCATGAGATAAAGCTGATGAAGACGATCTGTTTACAAATTTTAGTTTCATTTTGCCTTTAAGTGTCGACATAATACCAATCAGTTATTATATATCAGGGGCTGGGGGGTGAACGAATGGTTAGCACGTGCGCGCTGTATCATAAGGTCTGTCATTGAGTCAACTAGCGTGGTTTCGATTCCCCGGTAGTACGTGACAAGGAGTAGGGTCGCCTGCCCAACCTCGTGGGTTTTCTCCAGGTCCTCCAGTTTCCTCCCACTGCTAAAGACCTCTACGCCCAAGCGAATTATTGAAATAAAATTAAACCATCTAATTTGTGTCGAGTGGACGTTAAACACCACCCCCCCTCTCTCCCTCTCTCTCTCTCTCTCTCTCTTTCTCGCTCTCTCTTATAATATATCAACAGCGGTTTTATAATGGCAGGGGTGGCTTGATCGAGCCTTCTATTGAAGATGAAGGGGGAGGGGCTAAATAAGTAAATGTTCTCAAGTAGTTTGGGGGGCATTTTTTCTGTATTTGCGCCGTTTTTGATGAATTGATAAGCAAATCAGTCTCTGCAGGTTTTGTACGCAGGATATACTCTATAAAGCAAGCACCATTTACACTTAGTTTTTCAAATATTGTCTCGCGCCCGGAGATCGCCCTACTCGGGGCTAGGCTCTGGAACCTCCAGATCCCAGTCTGCCCTGACCAATGAACGTAAGCTATGAATATAGGTTATCATTTCACAAAATAAATCTTTACATAAAATGCTATCAAATAGATAATCTTTCGTTGTTATCAGAATACCCTCAGTCCAAATAAAATAGAGTGTGACATTTTATAAACTTTTACTGCAGGATAAATAGTTATTACAGAGTAACATTCACAACATATGACTTCCTATATTGTATGACAGCATTTACTGCAGAACAACATTCACTGTATGGTAAACATGGATTACAGGATAAGAGAGAGAGAGAAATGAGGTTTAACCTCCACTCGACACAAACTAGGTCATTTCGGAACTAACATACGGTTCAATTTTATTTCAATGATTCGCTTGCGCGTAGGGGTCTTTAGTAGTGGGAGGACACTGGAAGAGGTTGGACAGGTGACCCTATATACTCCTTGTCCGGTAAAACCGGGGAATCGAAACCACGCCATTCGGCCATCAAACCCCCCGACTATAGTGTAAACATTACTATATGGTTAACATATACTACAGGGTAAACATCTTTTATGTAATCATTTACTGCTGGTTACATTGTATGTACGCATTGCAGTCGTTGTAGAGAAAGGGGGGGGGGGATAGGGGTCCACTCAACACAAACTAGGCCAGTTCGGGACTATAGGCCTATCCGCCTTAAACAAAATTATAAATATAGGCTAAGTTATTTATGACAGATTCCTTGACAGTTAAAATTCGAAAATAGGAATGAAGTGGGCGAGATCAAAAATCCTACCCACATGGAAAAATACATCATAACCCCATTCCATTTTTTGTTAATGCAAGAAAGTGAATCTCATTACCATTGAATGAAGTAAAGAAAAAAAACGTTTCATAAACATGTGCTGACATTTGATTGTGATAAGAATAAGTTAAAACTGAGCAACACACGTAATCAAGACAATAAATCGATATTATAGATCTACTGATCACTTATTAATTTGACTGGATTCTATTATTTCCTTTACTACGTTAACGTGTTGATTCTTGCATTACCATGACTGGAAATTACCAACAACCATTCATATCAATTACCATACAAGAGGCTAATGTTGTCAATTATTCGTCAGCCCTGAATTGGCTGTTCAGAGAATAAAAAGTTAATTTATTTTTCCTTGTATGTAATATATGGAAAGTTATTGCCAATGCAGCTGTATAAAAATATAATCGTGAATCTGTAGTCCAACTTAAAGGAGCTAAATCGCTATTATCTGGGACCTAGAAATTGACATAAAAGGGTAGCAATGCATATAATAATGTTATATTATGAATGTATGTAAACTGATTACATTCAATCGTTTCCGTTTAAAACTCTAATATCTAATCAGTTATGTTCGGGGAAATAAGCCAGAAGTCTCAACCGAATGGCAATCTCTAGCGTCTGGGTATGCCAGTCTACATCGATAGTATTTATTGCACATGCTCTCCAGATAAGAATATGACGTCACCGTTTGGCACGACTTGTGGAATATGTCTAGCCTCGTTCTTCAAGACTCTTGTTACACATGGCGATGAAACGCATTATGGTTCATTTCTCCGAGAATTATTCTTTTTCATTAAGCACAATCATCGTATGTCGCTGTTCTGTTAATTGCGCCCTTTGGACTATGTTCACCGAATGCTTTATTCTTCATTATACCGAATACAACTAAACAATTTTTGTCAGGGACTGTGGTTGGACAATTCTAGAAAATGCATCTCATTTTGGTACAAGAAACTGGTTATGATCATGATCAAGATCATACACTAAACTTACAATGGGAGGGGTTTGATTTTTTTATTCTATCCAAACGACTAGACACTGTCCCTTGCTATACCCACAGTCTCATACCATCGACAAGAGGTGTCAACCGTGGCTCCCGAATTACAGAAGTAAGTTTTATAAATATTGTAGTCGAAGTATAAGTACATAAACTCAATTTAGCAACCGATTTATCAACTTTTGAAGGGGGTTAAGTAGATCTACCGACCTCTTCAAGAGACTCCACATTTAATGAAAAATCTATTAAAATTTGATCATTATGATAATGTAGTATTGGCTACCGATCATTGCATAACGATCCTTGGTTGGGTAATTTAAGAAGGTGAGAGGTTATATCTATCAAAGACAATAATACTTTAAAACATGCGATCAAATTACAGACTTTTACTGTTCAATCAATACACGCCATATCGACCCCAGTTAACGGGCTTCGCTTTATTCAATTTAATCGGAATGTTGAATCTGAATGACAATAAACCAGAGACTACAAAAAGAGAATATGATATTAGTTACGGTGTTTATATTTGGGGTTATCTTGGTGATCGAGGCTCGTGATTAGTTAGTAAGTGACAGTTTGATTTTGAAAGGTTTTATTTGAAGGGGTTGTTGTTTGGAGAGTGTTTACAGTTGTTAAGGGGCAATCGCACGTCACAAGAAATTGTGAATTATCCGGGTATAAAAGATCCTGTAGCTCTTTCAGCTGACTATTGCCTTCTTTTTTACTAGATAGCTTTCACTTAGTCAACATGAGAGAAATCGTACACATTCAAGCTGGCCAGTGCGGCAACCAGATCGGTGCTAAGGTAATTAATTAACTAAACACCTAATTAATTAAATACACAGTATTAATTTTTAAGTAATTCTACAAACAAAAATAGGTTGATTCAGTTTTAAGGATAATTTGAGAAAGAAAAAAATGTTTTCATAAAAGAATGACATTGTCAAGCGGGAATATCATCTGAACAAGTCTCTACAAGAATATTTGGTTTTAACGGAATCTGTCAGCAGATGATTTTACTTATATTTGATATTATTTCCAAGATTGATTTATAGATCTACTGTGATTTCATTTATTAAAACTTAAATAATTCAAAATTGTATTTTCCTGTGTTTTAAGACAGGTCTAGAAGATGGACCGCACTCCGTCTCATTTCAATTATTTCTTTTCTAGCATGGAGAGAAATCCATGTTTACAACATTCAGTTGTGGACGTTATCAAACTGCAATAACTTCAATAGAGTTCATATGTTCATATGTTGAGATAAGATTTTATGCATAAAAAGGATACACAAAATAAATTTGAGCCACGGTAGCTCAGTGAGTAAGGCGGTGGCGCACTTACCGGGAGGTTCGGGGTTCGATCCCGATATTGGTCAAGAAAGTTACTCGGGATTTTCCAGCGTTGTTTCCTCTTGTAAGTGATGCAGGGCGAATGGGACGAAAAGCAGACTTCCCATCTACATATTGGCGTGCACGTAAAAGAACCCTTGATAGTTCGAATGCAATTGCTGCCCGGACACAAAATCTTCCTCATAGCCTACTACTGTATAGTGTGTTCCCGTCTTTATTAGCCCAGTTGGCGCAGAAGTAGGACGCCAAACCCAATTTTATTCAGTCATAATTTATTTGAATTCACAAAATTGACCTTTTGTTCAAACCCGTCAAATAGATATGACCAGAACAGGCGCGGACGAACGAGAGCAGGTGCGATAATTTTCGCGGGCTCTATTTGTTTATATTGTTATCATGGTAACTTACAATAGTGAGATATGGTCGTAAAGAATTTCATTGATATAGCTCCATTGATATACAGGATTGGTGAATACTCACTGTAAACAATAGTAACCCTTGGTTAGATTTATTCATTTCTTCCTTATTCAGTTTGATTGTGGATTTATTCATTTGTTTGTGGATTTACACCCTAATCATTTGTTAGTTATTATTATTTTTCTTCTGTACATGGCGTCCGTAGACTCTTGGGCCTTTTTAATTTACAGTTACCATTTTTCATGTTTTGTTTTAATTTATTTTTTCGAAAATCACCTTTAAATGTTGTACCTGTTTTAAGTTAACTACTTTTTAAATTTTATTTTGTAACCTATTTGTTTTTCGTTTTCAGTTCTGGGAAGTTATTTCTGATGAACATGGTATTGACCCCACTGGTACTTACCACGGTGACTCCGATTTACAATTAGAAAGAATCAACGTTTATTTCAACGAGGCTACTGGTATGTATTCCTCTAATCAGTATAGCCTTTAAATTGCTTCTCCCGTTTGAATCATAACCATTTTTAAGTTCTCTATTTCTAGAGATAAACTACTACTATACTACAATTACAAATAGCTATATGAAGTCTTCAGATGATAAATTGTACTAGATATGCTAGGAAGAATATGTATGCACACCATACCTCATGTACGACACCAGCCACTACATATACTAAATACTGTGAAACAAAACGTATCATTATCTTAATCTACATGTATTTTTTTTTCAGGTGGTAAATATGTCCCAAGAGCCATCCTCATCGATTTGGAACCCGGTACCATGGACTCTGTCCGATCCGGTCCATTCGGTCAACTTTTCCGTCCAGATAACTTCGTCTTCGGACAATCTGGTGCCGGAAACAACTGGGCCAAAGGTCACTACACAGAGGGCGCCGAGCTCGTTGATTCCGTCCTAGATGTTGTACGAAAAGAATCTGAAAGTTGCGACTGTCTTCAAGGTTTCCAACTCACACATTCTCTTGGTGGAGGAACTGGTTCTGGTATGGGAACCCTTCTCATCAGCAAAATCCGAGAAGAATACCCCGACAGAATCATGAACACATTCTCCGTTGTACCATCACCAAAGGTGCGTAAAACATTTTATTCCTGGAACGACGAACATATCATTTTTCTTTTAAATCTGTAGGAATTAGGAATTTTCTAAGTACTATTAATTAATGAATTACATCTAGTACGATAAGAAGCAGCAAAATCTAACAAAATATCAAAAAATTTACATATTCCTTCTATTATATTTTCAGGTATCCGATACCGTTGTTGAGCCCTACAACGCCACTCTCTCCGTCCATCAGTTGGTTGAAAATACCGATGAAACTTATTGTATTGACAATGAAGCTTTATATGATATCTGTTTCCGTACTTTAAAACTCACCACACCAACATACGGTGACTTGAACCATCTAGTCTCCGCCACCATGTCAGGTGTCACTACCTGTCTCCGATTCCCTGGTCAATTGAACGCTGATCTCAGAAAATTGGCTGTCAACATGGTCCCCTTCCCCCGTCTCCATTTCTTCATGCCTGGTTTCGCTCCACTTACATCACGAGGCAGTCAACAATACAGAGCTTTGACTGTTCCCGAACTCACCCAACAAATGTTTGATGCCAAGAACATGATGGCTGCCTGCGATCCCCGTCACGGAAGATACTTGACCGTCGCCGCCATGTTCCGAGGACGTATGTCCATGAAGGAGGTTGATGAACAGATGTTGAACGTCCAGAACAAGAACAGCAGCTACTTTGTTGAATGGATCCCCAACAACGTCAAGACCGCCGTCTGCGATATCCCACCACGAGGTCTTAAGATGTCTGCTACCTTCATTGGTAACAGCACTGCCATCCAAGAATTGTTCAAGAGAGTTTCCGAACAGTTCACAGCTATGTTCAGGCGAAAGGCTTTCCTCCATTGGTACACTGGTGAGGGTATGGATGAGATGGAATTCACAGAAGCTGAATCTAACATGAACGATCTGGTATCTGAATATCAACAATACCAGGATGCTACAGCCGAAGAAGAGAACGAATTTGATGAAGAGGAAGAACAAGATGAAGCTTAAATGCGTCTTCATAATTTTCATAATATTGTTTTGTTCTGTAATGTTTTGTTTTTTGTTTACATGTTTTGTGTAAATGCGGGTTTTTGTTTTGTCACGGGTTCAAACTACGCATCTTGTCTCTAAACACCTATGACGTTTACAACTGTTTGTAAGTTATTAAATTATTGAAAAATAAAAAATAAAAAATTCAGAACAATTTTGTAGTAGTGATGAATTGCTCGCTCTTAAAAAGTCTTATAGACATTCCAAGAGAACTGTGCAAATGAGACGTGCTTTCCTCTTGTTCAATATTATGTTATATGTGGGCGGTACTCCGACGCTTTGTGTGAGGGGGATGGGGGGGATGGTAGTATACAGTTGGGTAGCTGCAGCTATAAGTTCATTTTCGGGTTGATAGTGTCTTAACCACGACTATAAGAATATCCAGCTTGTTTCCCATTATTGCTCTCCAAGTTCATATCCCCATGAAGATTTAATAACTGCAGTTCTGACAGGAAGAGGATGACTAGTTGTTTGGACAGTGCACAAAATAGAAGTACCATGTATAAACTAGATCAGCTGATAACTAAGATGTGGTTTAGACGTTGATATCCCGGGGAAACGCAGGCGGTTTGGTATTATGGTCATACCTGTCGAAGAGAGGGATAATTTAAAATTGGGCTGAATGTCCTCTCGACACTAGGTAATTTCGGGTCTAAGGTTTGACAGGCTATCCTACTTCTTGTCATATTCAAGCTGAGAATCGAAACCACGCCACTTGGCTCAGTGACAGACCTTATGGTCTAAAGCGAACGCATTAAACCATTCGGCCTCTAAACCCTACCCCCAAACCCATACTTATAATATAGTACATATGACAGAACATTGAAAGATCAACTGGAATATCCCGATCATGAAACATTTTTCTATCCTGGCTCCATTAGTGAGGTGTAACTCCTATATATGGCTGACATCAGATTGGAATGGAATTTAACGTCTAGCCAACACAATATTTCGGTCATTCGGAGGCTAGCACAGTGTAATTTTAATTTAATCGTTACGTGTAAGTGCGGATGGGGGGGTAACTTTTGCCAAGACAGTTGCTTTTCCGGTTACTCAACTTCGAATACCAACTTGCATGCACACGTCGATGTGTATACGAGTCAGTTTTTCACCCCATCCCACCGACTAGGCATACTTTCCTTGTCAACCGGCATACTAACAGGTGAGAATGGGGCTTTAATTCCATTACTGGTATGACCTGGAATATAAATACTCAAAACAGTTCCGGTAAATCTTACATTAATAATACCTTTAGATTTGTTATCCTATTAGATCTCGTGGAAAGGTTCAACTCTACCAGTTCAGATGAGAAATAAACTGTTTTATTATTTACAAATACAACATCACCACAAAAGCCAATAACCGATTTAATCTATTGAGATCGGTTTTCGTGAAATCTTGGGGGCGATCTAGGTTCGGTAACTTCATTATAGTTTATTCAAATGTCATTAAGTCATGCGGTTTCTTAGATCTTAAAGATTGCGGTTGTTCAATTTATTCATGTTAAACCAATTCGATCTTATCAACGGAAAAATAAACTTGCACCCAGTTTAATATGTATTTTCACTAAATGGCATATTAATGACAAATATTGGCTAACAATAAACGTATATTATAAATGAGTAGGAACAGAAGGAGTAAATAAAACACAAGAATGTAAAATTAAGGGCTTTAGATACTTAATTCATTGTTACATAATACTGAATAGATATGGCGTCGTGGTATGCAGTTTGGGGCTGTTAATATTACGTTCAAGTTAAATTGATGGCTTGAACATAGATAGACACATTATACGGAGTCATCAAAATATGGGATATATACACTGTAAAAAATATCCATTTTGTATGTGGCCGAATTCCGTAATTTAACACCTTTTTTCTGTTAATCGATGGATTTTTTGGAGAAATTGTGTTAATTGTCTGAATTATTTCTTCAAATTACGTGTTTTATGTATTTCTGTGGAATATTCAGTATTAAACAGGAAATTTCCGTGAAATTTAGGGATAAAATGTTTTATTCCCTTCTATAACGGACTTAATTCTGTTATTTTACGGAATAAACGGTGGAATGACAAGGAAGTTCCGTGAAATTTAGGGATAAACGGTGCAACGATAAGTAATCGTATACATATATAATCATTCCTAATAATCATCATGTTATAGTATTCATTTCAATTTATTAACCATAATATGAAGAATCATATTTTGTAACGTTTGGTATATTAATTGACATGTATATCTAATTTCCATTATTTATAAGATCTATAAAGTGTATTGTTATTCATCATACGGTAATCAGATTGTAAGTATTTTCATAAATATGTAAAAGTATGTTTTAATGCTGCGGGTGGTAAGGTTGTAATATCTGGTAATCAAGCAGGCTCAAGTCCGGATAGTATAACCAGTTGGCCAGTGTAAGTCGGTTTGTCTCTATGGCAGAGTCTGCATACCTGCGAATTGATAATACCGCAAACTTACATCTGAAAGCCTCCAACCACTGACGAGTAGCGGTTTGTGATACCTTGCTCTCGATTCTTAAAATAGCGAAAAGAGGTTACGTTAAAAAATTAATTGCGATATCACTTCGGTGGAAGCGGACGTTAAATAAAGCTATTTCACGCACGCGTATAAAGTCAATGGTTAATTCAATGAAATTTTTATCACCTTCATGGTCAGGAAACAAAATTTACCAGGATTTTTTTTTTCTGTATTTGAAAATGGAATTTATGTTAATTGAAGGAATTTCTGTAAATTACAGGAAAAACAAATACGGATAAAATTTTCCTGGTAATTTTTGTTTCCGGAATTTTTTACGTTTTTTCACGGAAATTTTTGTTACAGTGTAGTTATGATCCGTCTACATATATATGTAAAGTTCACAGAAAGCTCCAATAACTGATTTTGTGTTCAATAGTCGACAGTTTAAGGCAAGACTGAAACAAAAATTAGTTACTTAATCGACTTTTTGTCGAATGTTTAGTCGTATAGGCCTACAAATTGTCCTATCACTAATCGAAACAACATTCAACCCACCGTTTCTAGGCGGACGTCGTCTTCTTTGTATTTTGATGTTTTCCGGGTTTAGTTTAAGTACAATCCAGCCTTTATTTATTACAAAAGTTCTCACTACTACAATGTCCTTAATGTTCAATACACACTATCGAATTATTGTTTAAAGCTCGCAAGATGCCTACTTTAAATAGGTTTTTTAATTATTTACTTGCTTCGTTCGACAGGCGTCTTCTCAATAATAAATTTTACAAGGGACAGTGTAAAATTTAGTTTTAAAAACTTCTTATTAAAATATCCTTTCTTTAAACAAGCCAGAAATTATTTTTGCTAGTAAATTTTATATTGGTTTAGCCCCTCGCGCCCCATGAATATCGCTGGTACGCCCCTGTCTGTTTCTTGAAAGGGACAGGTTTTGCTTAGTATTTCTATAAAAAAAATGTATTATTTTGAAAACTGTGTCATCCCACGTTACAAAGTGAAGTACATAAGGGATTACGCAAGGACAAATAATTATTTTTAGTCGAGTGCACTTATCGAACTAAACAAACCAAATATTGCAAAAATTAAGATAAAATTATGTGTAGAAAGTTTAGACGAAGTAAAAGTTAAAAAAACAATGGTAGAGAAAACATGGTTTGTTGGTAGTTTCTGAAAGAACTGATAACAAAAGCGCTTTAAAATCTCCCCCCTTTAGTCACTTGGTCGCTTTTACACTAAAGTTGTTCTTTTATTTCAAGAGAGCACACAGTCGGGAACCAAATTAATGATATCAGTTATTCAAACTCAAATGTTTCCCTCGAAGACATTTTATAGCCTTTTAAACTAAACGCCGAGATAGGAAAAATAGAGAGACCCCTAGCAGTTAACCTCCCTATTTTCGTCTGATGTCGCGGTTGACAATTGACCGAGTAATTACCGATTTTCTGCTCAGTGTTCATGTAAATAATATGAGCTATTGTTGTCCGAATGATTCATACACTGTACAATACGCGAACAAACAACAATCTCAGATGACGAAGCATGAAGCAGAACTGCGGTCTCCTGATTACAGATGCTCCCATGCCGTGTCAAGGCTGTAGCAGGGACTCATCTAACATACTGGAAATTGAACAATATCATTTTAATTTGATTTTTATAAACTGATTTTACTGAAAAGGCACCAAGATCGAATGTTTTAGATATAAAATTTAATATTTCGCGGAGGAAGTAAATTTTGGTTGACTGTTAAAAGCAAACTCTGCAAAGCAATTATTAGTGTGCCTCTAAAATAGAATGTGGGGTAACTGTACAACCAAACACAGACAGAACAAACGATAAAAGCGTGTAGCACATACCAAACAGCAGTACACAATAAATAAAAGCATTAAGGAAAATATGTGGTACCAGTTCAGAAATCAGATATTCTACCATTAAACACACGGTACAGTACGTTCATTTCCATTCATCAAAATAAAAGAGCCCAGATTTAACAAATAATATTAAGAAATAGCTTTATATGACGTATATATTTTGTAATCATCTATGACTGCATTGTTTGTGTGAAAATAGAGGAGAAGCATTCTTTATGTGAATTATCATTTCGGGTATTTAGTAACGGATGCGTGATAATAAAAAGCAATATAAACTAGCACAAGACCATCGTGTTCGCCATTCTTCAAGTGACAATAGTTGTTTTGGAAGAGAAAGACGTACGAATATAAATTAAGATGACACGACAAAACCCTATAGAAAACCGACACCGACCAACACAATGGCCGACTAAATACTCTGTTAAGATTACCCTAGCAGCAATATTGGTGATGAAGTCAGTAATTAGAGGACCAACTGAGCAGCTAATCGCTCAGTAAAAGGACAGCAATGTGTGTAATACCAAGGTATCCACCCCTCAGGTTTGGCTAATCCGACACCATCTTAATTCCCCGACCCAGGGGGTCTGGAGCTCGAAGGAAGACTCCAACTAAGCATTGTTCACATTCAGCCTTCACTGACTCAGTAGTTTGTAATGACGATGTTTTGTATTGTGAAGGAGTACAGCCCCCTTTTCTCTGGCATACATTTTTTTTGCTATAGACGACAGACGCTGCAAGATATTAATGTGTCATGGTTAAATTCATGTATATAGATATTATTTTTAGTACTGATA